TGAATTTATGAATACTTTGATAAGCAGTGATCTAATTTATTAGCATAAAGTATGATGTACCTTGACATATTTTAAATATTATTTTACTCAGCTTTTCTCTTAACTTTGAAGATGCAAATAGTCTATTCGATTTTGCTATTCTTCTCAATCATATTATACAATTAAATAATTGATATACTAAAGTGAAATTATTATGATATTGTCATCAACTCCAAAACATACTTAGCATTCTGAGATCTATATATTCTTAATATACTATCCTTCTCCTTTGATATCATAAGTATCGCTTTCTTCACACAATGCTCCAAATGACCTAAACTACATAATTAATCTCCAACTCCTTAACCTCCTAGACATAAAGTTAACAATCTTAAAACAGACATATAGGTTATCTGATAAATATTTAGTTTCTAATAACTTGATGTCGTCTGAGGTTATATCAGCAAATTTTTGCTTATCAAAATTTAATATTTTATTAATCAGAATAAAATCTTCAAGACGGTTGGGAAATTTTAACATCTATTGTTTGAACGAAAATCTCCTAACTGACATTTAAAACTTCTCGCCTAAATGATCTAAATTAATATTTTGTTTAAATTACAGATCAACAATATAATTTTATTTGTGTATATTTATTCATCTGCTTGTACGGATCATCTGAATTATATTGTAATGTGTAATTTGAGGGTAACTTTAAGAGTTAAGTAAATCTAATTTAGATAGGGTATGGAAGCTTAGTCCTTTGGGAAATATATTTTATACTGCTTCAGCTTTCGATTACTTGGTATCATTGAAAACTGAGTTGATAATTTGACTTCTAATCCAGGATAAAATTTGGATCTAGTTTCAAAATTAGTATTTGGCTCTAATTAGCTGAAAACATTGACATTATTTCCATATTATTGATATTCAAAGAGAACTGTGCTAGAATTTCAACTAAATTACTACAAAATGGTTCTGCCTTATTGAATTGTAAGTATGAATTACACCTGAAATATTATTCAAAAATATTAAAGTTGCATTTTTAAATAATAATTCAAATAAAATATATGTAAGTCTTCAAAATTTAAAATATTATCTCCATTTAAATATATTCATCCTTCCTCTTTTTGCTTAATTTTTCTTTTAAAAATGATTGGCTTAGTCTAAATTCTCACTATTTAGGTCCTTTCACCTTACAAAGTAGCATTCTTGTGCATAATGTAGCAGGATTTCAAATACATTGAAGTATTTATTCCTAAAAATCACTATTCCTGATGTAACATGAGAATTCTGTAAAGAGAAAAAATATTCTAATTAAAATAGGTTTGAAAAGAAATTGATTCTACAAAAAAAATCTGCATTTTATTTTGTGAAAGAAACACAAATAGAGTCTAATTAAAAAAGATGAGTCAAAAAGCTGATATATTTAGATTTATGGTCTATCTACATTTTTAAATGGTATTGTGATTAATTCAATGTTTCAAAGTTAAATGGTAATATAAAAGAAAAACTTGGTATCTAAAAAATATCTACTTCTAGATTTAGAAAAGAAGTCTAAACTTAATTCATAAACAACTTGAGAATCTTTGTTACATATAATGAAAAAAAATTTTGGAAAGTATCTTTAAATGTTTCCATTTCCTTATTGAATTTGGAATTTGATTTCAGTGAATTTATAAGATAAAAAAGATTCACCGATTAATAGATCTGATAATAAAATTTAAACATATCACTCCGGTCTCTTTACTAATGATTTGATTACTCCGATATT